AAGAGCCAGTCGGGTGCAGCCTGGGTTCCAAATCCATTTGAAAAATAGCTCCATGGAGCATTAGGGAGCTCAGTCCACACTCACATTGCACAGAATTCAGAAAACCCTGTACCTTGCTCAAACTGCTGGAGAAATCACAGAATCATGGAATGGTTTGGGTTGGAAGGGACCTGAAAGATCATCTAGATCCAACCCCCTACCTGGGCAGGGACACCTCCCACCAGCCCAGGCTGCTCCAAGCCCCATCCAACCTGCCCTTCAACACTGCCAGGGATGGGGCAGCCACAGCTTCCCTGGGCAACCTGGGCCAGGCTCTCACCACCCTCACACAGAAGATAATTTCTTCCTAGTAAATTTGCTGAAATGTGTTCACACAGTCAAGAAATTTGTCACAGATACTTTGTGGAGACTTGAAAAGCTTTTTTAGAACAACTTTTCAGGACACCTACACCTAGGTTACTTAAACCTGTGGTGAAAATACACGTGAAACTGAAAGAAGGGCAGGTAGGGGGTTAAATAAAAGGCATTACCTGATTTCATTTGGTGTCTCCTCTTCCTCATATCTCTTCTTCTCTTTCCTCCTTATCGTCAGCCTCACCACCAGGAAAAGAAGGGAGAGCCCCAGCACCACACCACAGACTGCTCCAGCAATCATGCCAATATTTTGGGCATCTGTTGTCCATAAAACAAACGTGTTACTCTGCAAACTCTCCCTAGGGTGAGAGTCTAGTCCACACCACAAATTACAGCACTGGGTTTAATTCAGAACAGAACATATTAGTCTACTTGTTTAGGTGTGTCTTTACACAGAAGTTGAACCAGTTTATCTTCAGGCATTACTTCCACAGCAGAGATAACAGGGAGGAAAATATTCATCTCTGGAAGGGTGGGATCATAAGCACTGTGGTTTCAGTGATGGCTCAGAATTGAAACAAAGAGGAAGAATCCTCTGCTACGAGCACAGAACCACATGAAGTACAGCCAGGACAACCCACATGTGAAACAAAGCACCAAGCAGCTTCCTAGAGGCAGAAGAATGCTTGAAGCATGAGTGTTTCCCCATAAGGATTTCTTTTTCCCCTTCCACTCACCCTGAAATTATTACAACCCACTTGCAGAATGAATTATTCAGTTGAGGAAAAAATAAGTGACCTGAGGGGGGTAGAGAGAAAGGAAGAAAGGAGACCATGCAGTGCAGGTGCAAGGCAGTTTTCATCCAAAAAATGTTAATGAGAACCACTTCCTAGTGTCTACGAGCCCTTAGCTGATACTTTATGCTAACTTCTTTTGATAAGAGTGGCTGGGTTGGGTTTAGCTGCAAGTTGCTTTCTTGAGGCTCCTCCCTACGGAGGGTTTAGCAAATTCAAATGAGGTTTTAAACCGATTCTGTTCAATTGGCCTGAAAGCTGTCTGGGTGCTTTTAATCCAGATGCCTGAGGCAAACAGGTTTTCCTTGCTGCATGACAATGTCCCAGTTATTTCAGGTCTGGCTGGGCAGAAAAATTCCAAAGCTATGGAATCACCAAGACGAGACTTCTCTGTTAAGAGTCTTTTGTCACAGCAGTTGCAGCTCCTGCTGATCTCCCCTGAGAGCTGCACATAAAAACCTGCTAAGCTGTGTTGTTTGGATTTGACTAGTCCCCACTGTTGGTGCTAAACTCCACCCTTCTACTTGCATGCAAGATGCAAGGGACACCTAGACATGCACACACCCTTGATTGGCCTAATCAGGTAGGACATTGATTTTCAATCTCTCGTGTTTAGGACAGGATTGATTAAATTTGGATTCAACCTGTCAAAAGTTGCTTTTCATTCTGCACTTTGTTTCATGGCAAAGCCAACCTGTCCAGCTGCCTTTAGGCAGTTTATCATGGAGTCATAGAATGGTGAAGGTTGGAAGGGACCTTAAAGATCATCTGGATCCAACCCCCTGCATGGGCAGGGACACCTCCCACCAGCCCAGGTTGCTCCAAGCCTCATCCAACCTGCCCTTCAACACTGCCAGGGATGGGGCAGCCACAGTTTCCCTGGGCAACCTGGTCAGGTTTTCCTGCCCTCATGGTCAATAACTTCCTACTAACATCTAACCTAAATCTCCCCTCTTTCAGTTTAAAACCATTACCCCTTGTTCTATCACTGCATTCTCTGCTGAAAATTTTCTCTCCATCTTTCATGTAGGCTTGTAACTTGGAATTGGAATACTGGACTGTCCACACAGGGATTTTACACTCAAGAGTAATTTAATTTCATTGCTCCAGCCAGACATACCTCAAAAACTGGGCACTCTGGAACAAATAACTCACCATTTCCTCCCTTGTATTTCATGAGTCTTTCTCAAAACCAGAATTGCTAACAGACCAAAAGATCTGAGCCCAAATGATGTATTTACCACTTCAGGTTATCCAGAGGACTGCTGTGCAGACCAGAAGTGCAATAAATAAGAACTTCTTTATGGGATGCAGGTATGAAAGGGCAAAGGTGTGGCCCAGAGTTCAGCAGTGGAGGTGAAAGGTTCACCAGGTAGTGCAGATCCTGGTTGTGTGCCAGGTACTTACGTTGCACTGTCACCTGAACAACACAGCTTTCTTGTCCTGCCTCGTTGGTGGCAACACACTGGTACAACCCCGTGCTCATTTTTTCAGCAGGACTTGGCCAGGCTTGGAAATGTCTGAAACGGGAGCAACACCAGCAGGATTCATCAAAAAACCCTTAACAGTAGGTGGGACATTGAAGCACTAGTGAAACTTCCCAGTCAAATCGGTTCAAGAACAACCAGTGATGCCTCAGAGAAGAGGTTTAGTAGCAGAACACTGAAGGAACTCATCCTGCACTTGCTTGCTCAGGGTGGAGCAACCAGTGATGCCTCAGAGAAGGGGTTTTGTAGCAGAACACTGCAGGAAACTCATCCTGCCCTTGCTTGCTCAGGGTGGAGCAACAAGTGATGCCTCAGAGAAGGGGTTTTGTAGCAGAACATTGCAGGAAACTGCCCTTGCTCAGGGTGGAGCCCCCACAGCACCCAGTGCTGCCGGCACCGCATCAAACCATCCCCGTTACCAAAAGCAGCGACGACCTGCGGGTGTCACCTGTGGGTGTCACCTGTGGGTGTCACCTGCTCGGGGGTGCAGGCAGGGCTCTGGGAGAACCTGACTTACTGACTGTGGAGCTGGGCGGGAGGTGCTCGGCTCTGCGGTCCTCGCGGCGGATGCGCTGCCAGCGGTAGGAGATGGGCGCGGTGCCCGAGGCCGAGCGGCACTGCAGGGCCAGCTCCTTGCCCTCCAGCAGCTCCCCTTCCAGCCAGCACTTGGGCTTGGAGGGCTTTTCTAGAAGAGACAGGAGACAGGTCGTGTCAATGCACCAGATGTTTGGGCTCGGAAGAGTTTTGGCATTGGTTTGTTTCCTAGGAAAACGGCAGGCAGGGCGTGCAGAGGCAGCAGGGTGTTTGCTCAGGGGAAAAAACCCTTTCCTTGGCAAAAGTGTTGGATTTAAGCAGTTTCCCAGAGCTGCCTGCTCTGGAATGCACGAAGGAATGGCAGCAGGGATGTTTATTAGGGGACTTCAGCTGCAGTTGTGTGCATCTTCATAGTCTGAGAAGTGGAGCTGGGTCAGACATAGAAATTACAGATATTAATACTCTGGGGCAGTTTGCTTCATGACTACTGGCACCACTGGAGCTGTGTCACTATGTTCCTCTTCTAGGTACTATTTAAAGAACATCCTTTCCCTCCTCCTCCTTCTCCATTTCTTCCTTCTCCCCACAGCACTTTTTCCACGTGATGACAGCATTCATGAAAAAGCCAGCTGAGAAACTGAAATCAGGGATGAGAAATGCTGACCCAGCATCTTATTTTTCAGCTCTGCTGACTTGGATAAGCTTGGGGTGCTGGGGCAGAGTCTTCAGTTGCAGGAGATCTGGGCAGGGTGATGCCAGCTAAACTAGAATATCAGTCTAGTTTGTGTTATGAGATCATGGAGATTATTAGGAACAGTTCATAGGATTTTGTAGGTGAATATTCTTACCCCAAAACAGTTCTCTTCCTGTGTCCTGTCCTTTGCCCAAAAAAATGCAAAGGCAGGTGTGGAGTTGGAGAGTGAAACCTGATCATGAGATGTCTTTGTGTATTTATACCCTGCTGAAACAAATCACTCTCAAGGAAATGAGTCTAGGGATTTTTTGCTTTGGAAGAACAATAAAATGACCTTACCTACAACCTTCAGGGTGATTCGAGCCCACTCGTACTGCCCAGCATTTTTAACCTTACAAATGTACTTCCCTGCATCACTGGACTGCAGGGATATGATTTGTAAGGATGCATCTCCAGCAAGGAAGTTGGATGTGAAGGAAACACGCCCTTTCTGTTCCTCATTCAGGTCATCATAGACGCGGCCTCCAGAGTAAGTGATCACCTGAGGAGCAAAGACAGTCACTGAGCAGCCAGTTGCAATTTTACTTGCACATGGAACCACAAATCAAAGCATTTTCAGGAGCTGCAGACTGAGGTTCTGCATGGTTAAGGGAGTGGCCAATGGTCACACAGGAAGCCTGTGGAAAGGTGGAAAATTAAACCTGGGTTTCAAGTCTGAGACTGATACATAAACTGTTTTCATGCTGGAGATTTATACTGGAGCATTTATACCAGTGCCAAAAATAGACATCAGCTTATACCAGAAGATATAAAAGCAGTCTTGAATTCTGGCTGGCCATGGCTAGCTAATTTAAGTTACTACAGACCCAATTTTTATAAGTACTAAACTACTAGACTTCCTGAAACCAAGGCTTCAAAAACTGGGCCTGCAAAACCCAAGGTCATATTAAAAAAGCTGCAGGACAATTCTGCAGTTTATCCAGGGATGCCTGATTACTTAGCAGTGTTAAAGAAAACTTGATTGTAGCACAACCTGTTCCAATACAGCATGTAGGAGTACCAAATAAGCTTCATATGTTATAAATATGCATTATAAATATAAATATTGATGTTTTAAAGATGCACATGGACTTGGCAGTGCTGGGTTAGCAGTTGGACTTGATGATCTGAGAGATCTTTTCCAACCTAAACCATGTTATGATTCTTCATTTCGCTAGATAAACCGGCCGTGTGTTCTAATCTCTGCTTCATTCTTCAGAATAACTCACCAGGAAGATCACAGGAGCCTCTTTAAATCAAAGGCTGCTGGTGATAGCAGGGTAGAAATCAGGCCAGTTTCCCAGCTGTGCCCATCCCTGCCGCACCTACCGCTTTCTGCACCGTCTCCGAGACGTGCAGCAGCCACTCGATGTCCAGGCTCCCTTGCTCCAGGAGCCCCAGGCGATGGTGACAGGGCAGAGTCACGTTCTCTTCAGCCACTCTCTTAAATTCAGTCTGAGCCTTGGACAGCCAAACAGAACAGGAGGCTGAAAGACAGGACCTGGTGGTCAGAGGCCAAGGTTGAGGGTGCCGGGCTGCACTGACCGGTGTTACTAGTTTAGGTTTTGTTGGATTCTTCCTCAGTTGCTGCATAGCAAAGGAAACCCAACAGCTTGGCTTGCTGGGCAGATTGCAGCAGATTAAAGGGGACATCTATGCACACGCAGGCAGCTCTTTTCACACTAATATTTAAGCATGAAGAACAGATGGCTTCACACTCCAGAGCTGTCAGTACTTCAGTAGCACCCACCTCCTCTCTGTGCTCAAAATTCCAGCTAAGCCCCTCGGCTTTGCCTTTACCTTCTATTACCTTCATGCCTAAGTAGTATTTCCACCCAGACCAGAGCCCCTTTCTTACTCCTGTGTCAGTCAGTCTGGCAAGGCTTGGAGTCTCTTCCCTAACACTGGGTGATGCTCATCACATGCGTTTCAGCTCTGGAAACAGGAGAGCAAGCCCAGGAACGAGAGGGGTCACTAAGAAAAACATGGTACAAAGAGGCTGGGGAAATGTCTTTGAAGGGCAACGTGAAAAAAAATATATTGAAATTGCCAAAAAAGCTTTGTCAGGCTTTAAAAAAAACCAACTAATTACCCAACTGAACCACAAGAGGGAAGCAGAGCCTTTCAAATACTTGCCAGTAACACCCAAACTGTCTGAACAAATCAGGGCTCGATTCTTGGCTTGGTTCATCTCCAGCTTTTGGGTACAGTAAATTCAAAGTCAATTCAAACTGACCCAAAAGATCAAAGGTATGGAAAAATCACAGGCATTTCGGTCAGGGACTTTCAGGTCTGCTACCACACCAAAGAAAAAAAATATATATCAACAAAGTTTCCATGGGGATTTCAGGGCCACAAACACCTTTTATGCATGAATCTTCAGAATGTAGTTGGGTTGGTTTTTTTCTGTGCAAGCTGCTTTTTTTTTTTTTTCCCCCTGTGAAAGGAAGTGAGATGAAATCTCTTGCTTCTTAGACCAATTGTTGTGAAACTGATGAAAGCTGTGGGGGTTGGCAGCCCTAGGAAGTCACACGTGTGAGAGAACACAACCCTGTGATTACACAGCAAGATTAGTGGCAAGAGCTTAAGAAGCTAAATTGTTCCTATACTTCTGCTTAAAAGTGGAGTCTCTAACCTTCCCTTTACCTTTTTAACTGGTAAACAAAAAAATCACCTGAAAAAAAATGACATCCAATACACTTGCTCAGCTTTTTCTATTTCTTCAGGACTAACTCTGATTTTAGAATGTTAATTCTGTTCCTGCTTCCATTCTCAGATTTGCCTCTGAGTTGTTAGTAGGACCATCCCTCTTCTGATATTTAATCAATACTTGCTAAACACTCCCTTTAAAAGGTATCATTTACCATGTGCATGCACACTTATAAAACACACAACTTTAAGACAGGTGGAGTCTTACAAAGGACCAAGCTCTCCTCCCTTACATGGATCTCTGCACGAATCGATGGGAGTCAAAGCTCCTTTTCACCCACATTAGCTGCTTTCTTTAAAGGGAAAATTAATCCAGTTTATCACTGGACTCACAGACTCAAAGCTCCATCTGCCAAATACAATTATACATCCTGCCCAAGCTGAATGCCTGCTTTCTCCCACAGCCCCCATGGCTGCAGGCTGCCTTCATTAACACTCCCTAGTTGACTGATCAATAAGTTTAATTTAAGCACAAGAGTGAGCACTCACATAACATTTGCAACATTTTCAAAGTCCTGTGCCAGCAGAGCACTGAGGCTTTGTTTGCTCTTCACAGAACAGTCTATGTTTCAAAATTTAATTTGATGTTAAATGCCTTAATCAGGATTACCAATCACCTCTTGAGGAAGTATAACAGGCATGATTTTCATTCCTCTCTGGCTTGGGCAGACTGTGTTTAGGAGATCTCACACTTCAGGCTGATCATATTGCCCCCTGCAAACATGCTCTGCACTTGAGAAGCAGCCCTGTACCTATAAATTCATCTTCTAAAAGGGACTGAAGATAAGGGAGACAGTGAGTGAATGCAAACTTCTAAAATACCCTTTGTTTTTTCAAAGTTACAGGCGCTCTCAGATAATTTGGAGCCCACTCACTGTCAGATAACCAGATAGGTATGCATATTGTGTACTTTTCTATTGCATATGTCTTATTTAGAAAACCAATATAAACTACTTGTCCCTTTAGTCTTTATTAGTTCTTTAATGACACCCATGAACTCAAAAGGAAGCCTGTAACTTTTGCAGGTGTCCTAGACAAAGCCCTTACTTTACTTCCTTTTCCAGTCACCTCTACCTGCACAGTCAAAAAGAAACTCAAAACACAGTTTCATAAAAGTACCCAGCACAGGGTTCCAGTTAGGGAGATGACCTGTGCAAAATCCAAAGAGAGCTTCACGTGAGCAAAGCTTCCCAGAGTGTGGATAGGTCGGGTCTCACTGTAACAAGAAGCAATGAAGTGGACACGTGTGGAATTTACAACACGTGCCTTGGAAAGAAAGAAGAACTAGAGAATGTATCCAAGCCCCTCCTAGGTCAAAATGTTTTATCATTCAACAAAGAATAAATGCCTTCTGATATTCTCTTGGATCTATCTGTGCAGCTGAGACAGAGCAAGAACAGCTCAAAGAACTTAGACTTTGCTGACAGTGCATTTAACATTTGTGTGTTACACACACCCGGGTTGGTGTTTTTAGGGGAGTTACTAGAAGAGAATGTCTGCTGCTGGACAACCCCTCACGGCAGCAAACGCCTCCGTGGACTGGCCAGGACACACATTGGCTGGTTTGCAAAAGCAGCCTGCTCCTGGCAGGGCTTTTTGCTCTGCTGGATGGTGCCCAACTGGCTCCACACCTTCCCCTCTTGGAGAACTTGGCAGCCACAGGAGGGCAGAGCCAGCCCAGAGTAACGCCTGAAGGCTCCAGCAGACCAGAGATGAGTTTCCCAGAAGTCGGATCCAAAAAGCCTGGCTCAGTAATCCCACATCTATGCAGGCTCCACAGTTCTTCCCCCCAAAAAACCCTCTTCCCCTTCCACATCCTGTGTGCGGCAATAGGGGAATTGCTTCTCTCAGTTTGACTCAGGCCTTACTCAGCCTGTGTCCCATGACTTCAGAGGTGGGTGGGTTTGGTTTTCCTGCAGAGCAGAAGCCCTCAGGCTCACTGGGATGGCAGCATTTGGAAAGCATGGGCCAGGGGCCTGAAGATGAAGCCCTGGGTGCAGCGCCAGGATCACCGAGCACCGCAAGCGATGCCAGGTCACGCTCTGTGTTCAGGGGAGGAGACCAGTGTGGGGCTTCAGGGTTTGCTCTATTGTTCTGGAGACAATAACTCACCCAACACCCCGCAGACGAGGGAGGAAGATTGTTGTTTCTCATGCATCACAGAATAATAGAACTATTCAGGTTGGAGAAGCCCCTTGGGATCACCCAGTCCAACCATCATCCCTACTCTACAAAGTTCTCCCCTCAACCGCATCCACCAACACCACATCCAAATGGCCCCTGAACACACCCAAGGATGGTGACTCCACCACCTCCCTGGGCAGCCTGTTCCAGTGTCTAACCACTCTTTTTGTGAAGAAATGTTTCCTAATGTCCAGTCTGAACCTGCCCTGGAGCAGCTGGAAGCCCTTCCCTCTTGTTCTGTCACGGTGAGAAGGGACCAGCACCAGCCTCTCTGCAATGACCTCTCAGGTGGTTGTAGAGACTGATGAGCTCTCCCCTCAGCCTCCTCTGTCTCAAACCAAACATGCCCAGCTCCAAGTGTTCTTAAGAATGATTCTCTGGGCCCTTCACCTCCTCTGTCCTCACTCCAGCACCTCAGTATCTCTCCTGAACTGAGGTGCCCATGGCCCAGGAATGTTTTCAATATCCAAGAATACAGAGCAACAACTAGTTTAAACCATCAGACAGGACCCAAACTGCAGAGTTCCCAGGGGAAGAGCATAGATGGGGCTTGGGCACACAAAGGGATCCTGGGCTCCCTCAAGCACAGGCAGTTCTGCCTGCATGCATAGCAGACCTAAGAGAAACTTAAAAGTGGACAATATCCTGCATCTTTCTCAGGCAAAGATGAGTCTTCAGGCTATTCCCAGCACTTCTGTCAACACTTTCAGAGGACTCCCAGTTTTGAATGTGTATTACACAAGGCCTTGAATTTCAGAAAAGCCTGCCCTTCAAAACAGATTTAAAGGGAAGGAGCCAACTCCTGTGCAATCCAGCAAGTGCTGAGCAAATTGAAACTGTATTAACCTTTATTATGATCATCCCAAGTAGTGTTCTCCTGTCTTAATACTTCATGTGCTTCCCTATACAATAACGAAGCTCAGTTAATTTTCAGGCCCATCCAATAACAAGTGCACAGATACACAAATGCACATACACACCAACATCAAATATACATAAACATACAAGCAGAATCAAAGGGAAAATGAATGTTTTGCTGACATGTTTATTTGCGGGCAGATTCACGTGCTAAAAGCTAAAGAGCTTCCAGATTTAAATCTTTCATTAGGTTCACAAGAAGGTTTGAATTAGGGAACATTGCTAAATATAGCTTAGACTTTACAAAGTCAGAAGTCCTGCTATGTCACTTCACTGCTGAAATTGGGAGGAACAGCCTAGAAAAGTGTCAGAGAATTGAGATACAAGAAATTAATCCACATTTATTTAAGATGTGAATAACCAAAATGGGCTCTGAAAAAATTTCACATCTGTGAAGCTTATTCTTCAGCTACACTCTTTATATTTTTAGCTTGGCTTTTCCCAGGATGACATCTGCAACAGACTATTCCAAGATGATGTCCAAGGAGGAGTAGAAATGCAACCTGTAATTTTTCTGCAACTCAAAACATCCTGTAGAGGAAAGTGACTCAGGAAGTGACTCCAATTTGCTCCTGAGGAAAACTTTCTTCAATACAACAAAAGAAGGAATTCCAGTAATATCCACACAGTTTATAGCACTGTCTGGACAATTCCCATTGCACTGTGATAGGTGACC